AAGTATTTGGCGCTGTGATGAACATCATAGCAAATACACAAATCTGAATGGCTGTTTAAATAATTTAAAGTCCGCATGAAATCAAAATTGACTTTATTTACTTTACTAGCGCACATTGCTAGTAATGATGTGAACAATTAATCCGTGCAAGTTAATCAATCCGCTGAATTGTTTGTCTTCGTAATCTTTAATCAAAATCTGAACATTTACTTCCGCTCTGGAATGGCATTCCTTTTCTGATGACGTCAGTTTGAATTTCAGGGGGGGCCGGTGCCACCCCTGGCCACCACGTAGACACGCCCCTGCTCATGTCCCCCATGTGCTTGCTGATGGGCCGTGTAGTGCTAGTGGCTGGGTGGCTAAAGCACACACATGATGTAATCAACTCTCATAAAGAAAGTCTCACATAAAGCTTGTGCATACACAGCAACTCGTGGTATGCGCTTCCAGATTCCTCTAAAGTGGCCTCTGCATGATGGACCCCCAAATAGGAGACACATGTTGTATGTGTCTTTGCTGACGATAAAGTGCATGCATAAGATAGACATATCCTAAACACCATTTTGCCCTCAAGTTGGGAATCAAATATGCTTGAATATGAGTCGCTAGATAAAACAGGCTGAAACTATCGTGCACTGATTAAAAAAAAATCTGAAATGATGATGCCAAGCATTTACTTTCAAGGGCACTATGATGCAGCAACTTATGAGTGGTGCTTTAGCACCATCAGCCAATAAATCAGCATGATTCTATAGGGCTTCAGAGCTTATGACCATTGACGTGTCTCATCGGATCATTACATAGGCTCACCCATACAAAAGGGATGAAAATGAACTAATGCAATTCAATGAATTTCTCTTCCTGCTACTTAAATTCATATCCAACATTATTAAATTCAAACTCATAATTAAAGTAGTAAAAAGTAGTAAAAACATAATTTTGTAGTAAAATTTTTGACATGAAACACCAGTTTACATGACACATCCATTCTGATGTACTCACTTCTCATCTGTTTCTTGATCTCTTTGGACAGGTCCAGCCAGTTCTGCAAAACACAACAGAAACAACTAAATCTTAAAGCAACATGACAAGTCCATTTTGCCTTATTGTTTAAGAATGCGTTTAAGAATGGTTGGTCTTAAAGGTGCATTGTGTAGATTTTAGCGGCATCTAGCGGTGATGTTGCGAATTGCAATAAACGGATTAGCCCCTCCCCCCCACCCCTCCCCATGAGAAGCTACGGTTGCCAACACAGGATAAAGAAACAGCAGAGAGTAGCTAGTCAAGCGTTGAGGTTTCTTTACAAGGATAAATTAAGAAATTATATGTGATTAATTATTTAGTAAACCGATAAGTCATTGCAATTATTATTGTTACATGTTCATCATTGTGTTAGTGTTTTATTTGCTGACTTTACCTAGCTTTTTGCATGCTAGTTAGTACAAGGTAAGAGTAGTCTCGCGTAGCCAGACCTTCAGACTGACGGCTGAAGGTCTGGAATTCATGGCAGCTTTCATTGGCCAAGGCCCGCCCATGAGGCCGTTTGACCGACATGTCAAACAACCAATCACAGTTCGTTTCGTTCATCGTCACGTTTCGGGGCGTGGAAATGTCTCCACAATAACAGTGGCGTAACAGTGGAGTGTGTAAAACTCTCGGACGTATTTTAAAGATTCTATGCCACGAACTTTAAATTTTTCACATACTTTTGAAAATCCACCGTTTAGTTGATCCTGATAAGCGCTCGTCGTCACAGTTGTAAACATGACGGCTTTCTTCTTTCATGAGGGGGTTTGAGTTTCATGAGGCTGAGACTAAGGTAAGAGTAATGAAGCAGCTAGCTAACGTAATGGTAAATAACTATGCTGTTCAGAGCATTTAATATGACAGCGAGATAGAGTTAGCAGACGTTTTTCTCCACGGTTGCATAGTCAGACACAACCAGAGTACGCACTCTTCTTACTTCTACGAATGACTTCTGCTTCTAATAAACCACACCGTTTATTATTATGTCCGTTTAGGGCTACTGTAGAAACATGGCGGCGCAAAATGGCAACTTAACCATAGAGGGGGACCCGCGGTGTATGTAGATAGAAATGGCTTATTCTAAGGTAATTAAAACATAACGGTGAATTTTGTAAGGTATTTATACACCACTGAAAACATAGTTTTGTATGTTACATTGCATTTCTGTAAACAGATTCTCAAAAATATTACACATTGCACCTTTAAAGAATGGTTGGTCTCTGTTTCTCTATATGTCTGAATTGAGAGACAAAAGTTGTTGAAGGAGATTAATGCAAATCTCAACATCGGTCTTTCCCACTGTGGCTTTAAATCTAAATGAGATGCTCTGTATTTAGGACATCATGGAACACCAGAAGAGATCAATGCACACTACAGTACATCTGCATGAACTTCAACATAAGGTTGACTGGAACCATTGAAACGAAAGTACAAGAGATTGAGGTTTTAATCTTCAAAATCACTGTTTAATCTTTAGATTAAATAACAGTGACTATGTTCTGAATGTTCCGTACATATTATAGGACAAATAATCCAAAAAGCAGCCATTATTATTATTATTATTTATCACAATCTGGAGATATACCCTTCTTCTAATTATTTTAATGATATGGAAGTTACAGATACTAAAAACTATTTTCCAACCATTATTCTGAGTCCATCAAGGTTAAAGAATTGTGAAGAGGTCTGCAACAAAAAGTTACATTCTGGTCACAAGGTTGAGAATTATAGTGGGAGAAAAGTCACTTCTGTGCATGAACTACATAGAAATGCTGTAATGCACAGAAATTCCAGAATTTAATGGCAGATGAATTGGAGATCAATCTTGAACACTGAGGCGAGAACTCACAGTATTATAATTACGGATGGGCCCGAAGCCCAATATCTTATTCGGAAAGGTATGGATAATGGCTTCAAAACAAATAATGAATTCTACTGAATAATAGGAAAAATATTTGACAGACACAGTTACTTCTCAAGTTTTCTGGATAACAAATGAGCCAGTACAGTACAATCGCAAATCAGTGCCATGTTACTGTTTCTTTGTGTCTCTTAGAAATCAGAGCTTGCAAAAAGTTATATCAACTAAGATACTGAATCATACACATTGTAAACTATTTGATACTGTATGTCTATTTAAATGTGTCAAACCTGGTAAGATATGATATACAATATTTATCTCTGTCTTACTCTGTCCCAGAGCCAGTCCCTAATGTTTTTTTTTTTTAAATCATTTGTTCAGATTTGCATGTATAGTAAAAGCTGTTTTGAACCATTGAATATTTTCTTTCAGAGTCTAAATCTTAAGACTACACCTTTTCAACTTACACAATGTCTGGGGACAGTTAAAATTCCTTATTAGTGCAGGTTTCCATAGAGTTTAATGTTTCTTTTTCCTGTGCGATACGATGAGGAACACACACCTGCCTTGTTAACCAGCTGAAATAAAGTTTTTAAGTTAACATAAAATAGTTTTTAAGTTAACTTTTAAATTATTTCAAGTAATGATTTTTTTAAGGGTTTAGTTTTAGTTAACTATAATAACCCTGACCCAAAGTTGTCGCCTTTTGATGAATTTCAACATTTTGAAGTCAAAATATGCGATTTATGTTTTGACATGTAAGTAGCTGGGGGAATCAGTCCAAAATGTTACAAAAAAAGAAATAAAAATTATCTGTCTAAACAACACAACTGCAGATAGTGGCGCATGTGGCAATGTGGCGCATTTCTCTCAATAACTAGGTTTTATTTTAATATTTATTTATTTATATTTATATTTTAGAAGGTTTTATTCTTCTCACATATATCAATGAAATTTAGTCAGATATGGTGTTCAGACGCAACCAAACCTTTCATCAAATAAACAGTAACACAAGCAGTTTGCTTAGTAGCATGAAGTGCTAAATCGGTTGCTCTTCTCAGCTCTTTGACCACCTCAGAGGTTTCAACCCATCACCCTTTGTCCATTTTCTTAAGGATATTTGCCTGGTACGAATGCAGAACTGAAATAGTGAGCAGGGCCACACCTGCTTGACCAGCAGTAATATACGACTTAACGAGTCAAGTCACCTTTATTTTTATATAGCGCTTTACACAATATAGATTGTTTCAAAGCAGTTTTACAGTAATAGACAAGAAAATATTGATTCAATTATGCAAACAAAATTATGCTGTAAAGCAGCTGATAAGATAATAGTAAACAGTCATTATTCAGTTGAAATCAGTTCATTGTGAAACTGTGTAAAGTCCATAAATTATGGAATTATTCATCTATAAAGCAATTCTGGAGAAAACAGTGATGTCATCATCCAGCTCCATCATCATCCATTCGTGCAGTCAAGCCAAATATTAAGTGTCCTAAAAAACCAAAAGGTGACAGTGACAAGGAACCCAAACTCCACTGGTAACTAAGGCCCCAATCAGACAGAACGTGTTTTTTAGTTTTTTTTTTTGCAGTGAGAGGCGTCTTTTTACAATTGTTTCTGTTGGCAGTGAACGTTTTGCGCGCTGTTTATGCGCCTCGCGTTTTAGCCACCTGCTGCGACCTGCATTTTTGTAGGAGCATTCTGAGTGACTAAAGTTGAAAAAAAATCAACTCTGAGCAGAAAAGCGCCCGACGTCATTTGTGTGTGTTTTTTTTTTTTCATTGTCCAATCGAATGAATGGCGAGGCAGGCCTTCCGTTGTGGTGATGGAAGCTTACAGTTGCTGGGAGCATCCAGAGACTGCAATGATGGACAAGAAACTTGTAGTGGCTGTTGCGGGTTACCCAGAGCTGTACGTTTCTTCTAATATGACACTTTACTTAACAGCAAACCAAAGATTTTATAGTGCTCGTGCTATAATCCTTGATTAGACTGACAGGACATCTGATTCGGTGGTTGCCTAGCAACATTAAAATAACACCTCACATTTTCAAATCTGAAAAATGCGTTCTGTCTGATCAGGGCCTATGGTAACCTCAGGATATGAATGAAACAGCCAGATTAATATTAGCATAAATGCCATTCAACTTGTGATGGAACAAGTACATTGATTGTTATGGGATATGTTAAGAGTTCCTGGTTCCGGTTAACCTAATTTATGCAGCCTAACAATCCTTTAAAGCATTTGAATTATAGAATTATAGTGATAGTGTGCTATGTGTATGCCAGGTTTAAGAGATGTGTCTGCCTTTGAACAATGCTAGGAAGACTGCCCCAAAGTTTGGGCACTAAACAGGAAAAGAAAAACTGCCCACAGTTGATTTTGATATTCTAGGTGTATTCAACTGGCCAGAATTTTGTGATTGCAGCAGACGTGAAGGACTATAGTGTAATAAGAGCTTACTAAAGTACTGATGAGATCATTTAGTAAGTAATTAGCAGTATTTTAAAATGTATGCAATGTTCAATAGGGAGCCACTGCAGTGTTGACAGAACCAGGCTAATATGGTCATACTTCCTGGTTCTAGTAAGAGCATTCTCAGTATTATGATATGGTCTAAATCCTGACTGGAAATCCTCACAGATAACATTTATCTCTATGAAGGAACATAGTTGTGAGGATACTGTATTTTCTAGTATTTTGTTCATGTATGTTCTATTTATTTTCATAAGCATGTTCATGTGGTTATTTCCTGTCTTCCTTAGTTGACCTAGTTTCTTAGCATGTCCTCATTTGTTCCCTTGGTAACAGATTAGTTTCTCCTGTGTCTAGTTTGGTTCCTCATTTCCCTTGTGTATTTGTACCCCTTAGTTTCTTCTGTTCTTCTTACTGAAGTGCAGAATAGACATGTAAACACCTTAATCACATTATTACCGTCGTGTAGGACTTTTCGCCGCATTTGCAACAGGATACACACATGGCAGTGATCAGCCGTTTGACGGCAAATAAAAGAGCTTCAACACCACCATCGTCTGTATGCACATACAAATAATTAATTGCACTTGAAGCTTTCATAAAATTAAAAATGAAACACCCAAAACTGTACATGGCATCATCACGAAGACGAACTATATGTTTATACGTGAAATTCCGG